GACCCCATCACTTGTACCTGCTTCAGCCAGGACGGGCAGTGCACCCTGGTGTCCAGCCTGGACTCCACGTTGCGGCTTCTAGACAAGGACACAGGGGAGCTGCTGGGCGAGTGAGTCCTCGGGGTGCTGGGCCCCCCACCCCACCCCTGCTAGGACCCAAGTCCTCCTGACCCCACCCCCCGCCCCAGGTACTCAGGCCATAAGAACCAGGAGTACAAGCTGGACTGCTGCCTGAGCGAGCGTGACACACACGTGGTCAGCTGCTCCGAGGACGGGAAGGTGTACTTCTGGGACCTGGTGGAGGTGAGCCTCCTCACCCCGACTCCTTACCAGGCTGCCTGCTCTCAGGCAACTCCCTCGCAACTCCCACACCTGCACAAGGGAATGCTATTAGAGCTGGGGGCTTGGAGGAGTGAGTGAGAAGACAAAGCAGGAAGGGCATTCCTGGCAAAGGGAACAGTGTGTGCTAAGGCTTGGAGGTGTGGCACACTTGGGTCAGGAGACGGAAGGACTGTGGGATGGCAGCAGCGATAGGGTCAGACTAAGCAAGCCCAGCCGACCTAGGGACTGACCCTGGGGGGAGCGGGGCCGACAGCCGCATCTGACCCCAGCTGAGATGGGGCGGTAGTTCAGAAACCCTGAGCTACCTCTGAGCATCCCCATGGTTTCTGGTCCCAAACCCTGTGAGCCCTGTCCTGCTGTGTCTCGGCCTGGTGGGGAGGTCAGGCTGGGAACAGACCATCAGTCTGGCCTCATGGGGTCAGGGCTGGGGCTTGGCCAGGGAAAGTAATGCCCCTAAGAGGATGGAGGAAACTGGGGGGCCCTGGAGACTTGAGGGCCCAGCTTTCTCTGGCAACTAAGAATGTGCCAGTGTTCTACCTACTTCTCTAGAGTCTGTCAGACTGAAAGTCACCTTGAAGGGGGCAGTGCATGGAGGGACATTTTTGAAGTGGGAAGAGCAATCGGGGGCAGGCTTGAAGGACCGAACGTGTTGAGTGGTGACTGCAAGCTGATGCAGGAAGTGAGCACAGAGGCTGCCCAGTGGGCCCCTGGAGCCTGGACAGCGGCAGGGTGGAGAAGCCAGGAACGGACGGGACATGATCGGAGCAGTGTGGTGGCTGTGAATGCAGATCCGCACGTGGTCCGAAGGCCGGGCCAGGAGCGCTTGCCGATAGATAAACGGGGTGGGAAGCGTGAAAGAGGAAGACTCCTGAGATGCTTGGCCTGAGCCACACATGCTCCAAAGGATGGAGCAACTCAGGGATTCATTTTGGGGCAGCTGAGGTTTGCAGTGCCTGGGAAGCCATTAGAGGCGGGTGGCTGAAGGTCAAGAGAGAGGGACGCACGGATACCCACTCCCCGCCCCTTCCCTCCACAGGGTGCCCTGGCACTGGCCCTGCCCGTGGGTCCTGGCGTGGTGCAGTCACTGGCCTACCACCCCACAGAGCCCTGCCTGCTGACTGCCTTGGGGGGCAGCGTCCAGTGCTGGCGGGAAGAGGCTTTTGAGGCTGAGGGTGGCACCAGCTGAAGGTGGGGACCCACTGCCACCAAGGACACGGACACAGACTCAGAAGGATCACAGAGACCATTTATTCTAGACACGAGGCTGATCGAGGAGGGACGGAGGGGTTGGGTGTACAAGCTAATAAATAGAGGCGAGGGGGAACTGCCCTGGAACCATAGCCACTCAGTCGTCATTCTTCTCAGGCACAAAGGCATCTCTCTTCTGGGCAAAGGTTTCAGCCACAAGCAGGGGGAAGACCAGGGAGGCATCGGCGTAGACCTGCAGAGGGGACCTGGGTGAGCCACAAGGCCCGTGGCTGCACTCTGGGAGACTCCGCGCCCCAGCCAGCTGACCGGCCCTCACCTTGACAGGCTGGGCGTCCACCCGGATCTTGCCCCAAGACACTGCCTCGTCCGGCCTGGCGCCAGAGTCCGAGCCATCAAACTCCTGGGCCGTGTTGATGTAGACAGAGTAGTCAGCCCCGTTCCGCTGTGGGGAGGGGCAGGGTGAGCTGGTCAGCCAGTCGCGGCACATGGGGGGGTAGGGCGGGGGCTGCATGGGACCCATGGCACCCCCCCAACTGATCCCAGGTGGTCCAGGAGTAGAGCCGGGGTACCAAGATCACACTCAGTGGCTGCGCAGCCTCAAACTAACCTCTGCAGAGGCTGAGGGCTGTGTCCTGCATGCTGGAAGCCCATAGTGGCCCCTCACTCCACAGGAAGGGCCCCACATCAGTGCGTGAGCAGAGTGCGAGGTTGGGGGTTGGTAGGGTTGATGGGCAGAGCTGCCCCAAACCCGCCTACTAGGGAGCGACAACTCTCCCACAGCTGTTCAGCAAGGGCCGCCACCACATACAAAGACGACTCCCACCCTGGTCCTGGCCCCATCATTCCTCCCGGACCAGCCACTTGTTCACAGAGGGCGCCTGTAAGCACGCAAGTGGCTGCCCTGGAGGCCTGGCTCTGGCTGCTGGTTCACCTCCCGCTCCCCTTCACCGGCCTGCTAACTGTCCCTGGACTTAATTCAGGCACCTCAGAGCTTTTGCCTGCTGGCCGTTTTCTCTGCTCACCGGCTGTCTTTCCCAGAACCTTGTTTCTCTTGCCATCATGTCGACCCTCATTTTTTCCCACAGCAGTTAACTGCTATGTGACCTACATGTCACTTGTTCGCTGCCTGTCTCCCGGACTAGAACATCAGTCTAGGAGGACAGGGATCCCTGCCTGTCTAATCCACAGCTGTCTCCCTGGCACATGGCATAGGCCTAGCGCACAGGTACGTCTGCATGGCAAGCCCGCATACCACCCTCACTAGGGACCGGGTACTCTGTCCCCACTCACCATGAGGTTGGCGTTGGCAATATGATGCTTGACCAAACCCCCGCCCAGGATGATCATCCCAGTGCTCTTGGCAAAGATGGCCTGTGTGTTGATGAGCCGCAGGTCTGGGAGAAGAGTGCTGGGGTCAGGCTACGGACCCAGCCAGCCCTCCTCCCCTGCTCTGTGGCCCCAGCACCTCACCCTCGACGATGTCCAGGACCAGGCCGGGGTTCTTGTAGGAATGGAAGAAGATCATGTCGCCCAGGGAGCCATCAGTGAGCGCTGGGCTCAACACAGGGATGTGGTTCTGGGGAACAGCAAGACGAGCGACTGGAGCTCAGGGCCCAGTGGGGGCAGGCTGGTCCCCATCCCAGTGGCATCCCCTCCTCTGCCTGATTCTGGGCAGAGTGCTTAAGTTGTCTGGGACTCAGTTTCCTCAACTGTAAAATGGAGACAGCAACAGCACCTCCCCCACAGATGAAGAAGCATATGTGATGAAACCAGACAGAACACAAAGGATCGTGTAGCTCTCACTACTCTGACTGCTGGACCTCCGCGTTGGAGGTGCATGGGACCCATGGCACCCCCCCAACTGATCCCAGGTGGTCCAGGAGTAGAGCCGGGGTACCAAGATCACACTCAGTGGCTGCGCAGCCTCAAACTACCTAACCTCTGTGTCCGGTTCCTCACCTAAGAGTGGAAATGATGAATTGGTTCTCCAGGTAGCGATAAAGGTGAAACAAGCTAATATGTGCCAAGGCCTGGTATCTGTGCCCCACCCAGCCCCTCACCTTCTGGGCCCAGTAATACACTGATTCTGGGTTGTTGATCTCCTTGCCCAGGCGGGCAATCATCTTAGAAGGTGTCCACTTCACACCCTAGGAGGAAACATTTGACTTCAGCCTGCAGTGCCCCCCCTGACTCCTACCACGCCGGCCCCCAGGTCGCTCCTGCCCCACCTCCGTGTTCTGCTCCAGCACCATCTGGTCCAGAATGGGCATCAACCAGTCCTCAAACTTGCAGTAATTGTCATTGGGCACCAGTAAGTTTCCAATCCTGTGAAAATGAGGCATGTGGGCATCGGGCCCCAGGACCCTCCGCCCAGCTCCCTTGCCCGGCACCACTCAGGGCCCCCAACCTGTTGATCCCGTTCTCACGTAGCTCCTTCCCCCTGAGACTGAAATCGCCCAGGTACGTGGGTGCCAGGCACTTGATAAAATCTTCCTCCACACCGCCAGCCGTGGTCACTAAGACGTCCACCTGCAGCCACAAGTCAGTGAGATTGGCCCAGAAGAAGGGTCCTGCCCTCATCCCAGGTAGGGCTCCTAACTCCCAACACTAACCCAGTGACCCTTGGGGAAAGCTCTACTGCACAACAAAAGTAAGATCGTGTCCCTCTGCTTAAAACTGACCCTGTCTCCCTATGTCATTTAAATGACCAATAATTTTATTGCCCCCATAAGACCTAGAGAGGCCAAGGCCACAACCCCACCAGGTCCCCACCATGTTGTGCTGCACGAGGTAACGGATGGTCTCACGGATGCCTGAACTGATGAGATTGGATGTGTAGCCCAGAAAGATGGTGCAGCCAGTAAGTGGGCGGCGGCTCTTGGTCAGGTCTGCATGGTGGTCTTCATCCTGCGACAGCGGCTCTAGTTTCTTCTCTATCTAGGTGTAAGGGCAGGGTCAAGTTACCCTCTGGCCCCCAAGCCCTAGCATCTACTTCTACCTGGAATACACGGGGCCAGGGAACGAACGCCCCCTGTGCAGGCTCTGCCCCATCCACAGCCCAAATCTCAGGGGCACACGCTCAGGTTTTACCCCCTTTCCAAGGAATCGCAGAGCACGACTTTTGCAGGCCCGGTCCCCTTCCCCATCCGAGCCTGACTTAGGTTCCTCAACCGCACCGTTCTGAACACTTTCACTCGTTACCTACGACCCGCCTCCTATCTAGAATCAGTCCCAACTTCATCCTGATGGTAGGATGTTTTGGGGATGAGGGGACGACGTCCTCTCCCCAGCACAGAAACCGCCGCCCAGAACGGGCCCTGCCTCTCTCCACCTACTGGACCGCCCAACACAGGACACTCCGCCTACTCAAGGGAGCCCCGCCCCCTCCAAGTACTGCATTGCCGCTACTCTAGGCCACACCCCCTCAATCCAGGAAGTTCCGCCCCGGGCTTCACCATGGCGTTGACTTGCTGCACTGCGCGCCCGAAGTTGGTGGCCTGGAAGCCAGTGGTGCCGAAGGCCTCCAGTAGCGCACGGTAATCCACGCCGCGGTTGAAGTCGTAGCCTCGGACTTGGGAGCTCTCGGAGGGCAGCGCCGAGCTGTGCTTCAGCACAGCGGCCAGCGCCGCCGCAGGTGCCTTCCCCTCCGGAGGACCCTCCATGTTCCAGCGGCCGCACTCCCAGATCACAGCCGCCCCGGGCCAGGCCTCCAGCGGCCTCCAAACGCACTAAGCCTCGGCACGCGCCTCAGCAAGACAGTGCGGGAAGTAGGGCTCGGGAAAACCTGCAGAAGGGGACGGGAAGTTGCTTAGTCACATGACCCTCTTTGAGTCCCACGATCCAGGGCGCGTTCAAGCTTGCGCGTGCGTCCCGTATTACGGAAGCCGCGAGGAGCCGTTATTCCCTGTTTCTCGTTTTGACAAGCCTGAGATGAATGAAGAGTCCTACTTTCACTGCCGCCTGCTGGAAACCCACCGCGTTGCGCGGCGCTTTCCTATTCGTTTCTGTCCCTTTGGGGAAGGAGGATGGCTTCTTAAACGTCGCCCTTGGATAGGATTCGAGTCATCAGGACATGTCAGATAGGTTCTGCCCCTGAGCGTCTCTCGTCAAATGGTTTAGTGATCGCTGTCCGTACCTCGCAGGTCTCCAGAGCCTCCTCCACATGCTGCGTAACCCTCTGGTCTTCCCCGGGCTGTTGCAGCTGTCACTTCTTCTGGGAAGCCTTCCCTGACCTTCCTCTGGGTAAGGGACCTCCTCTGGGATCCAAGGCTGACCTCTCTTTCCCTCCAGCAAGACTGTGAGACCCTCGAAGGTGGGGTCTGTATCTCATGAGTCCTCCTAGCCCTGCACAGGGTCTGGTCCGGGGGGAATCTTTTAACCAGGCATTCTACAATTTATGGAGTCTATACTGTACGTAGGGCTCTGTGTTTGGCCCTTCAGATTTATCGGTGAAGGAGATGCAGACCCTGCCCTCCTGGAGTCCACAGTTTGGGGAGCTAGAAAGCTAACAACGATAGTGGTAAGTGCTCTTGAAGATTCAAAAATGATGATGTGTCTTTGAGATAGGGGTGGATGGAGGGGGAGGTGGCCTTATTTGCAGGGACAGGTGGTTGGGGAAGGACACCAAGGAGGGGACATTTGAGCCAAGGCCAGAAAGCCAAGAAAGGCCCCATATGTGAATATTTGGGGAAGCCATTCCCCACCATTGGGAAAGAGAACTGCCAGTGCAAAGGTCCTGAGGCCAGAGATTAGCCCACTTGATTGGAGGAAGAGAACATTCTCCTTGACATCTTTGACGGTCCCCACTTGGATCTCAAGCTCACCACCACAGTTCCCACTCCTCCTAATCCTGATCTCCCTGCGGTCTTCCACATCTCATCAAAGAGCCCTCCGCTCAGCAAATAAGCCCTCGGTGCACCTAGTAGGCTCAACACTGGAGAATTGAGCTTGACGTCTCCCGTTCTCTCACACCCACACCCATCCCTCAGCACCTCTAACAAGTTCTACGCACAAAATAGGTCCCAAATCCAGGTGCCTTTTTTTATTGATAGAATTTGACATATATTAGTTTCAGGTGTACAACATCATGATTGGGTATCTGTATCCAGGTGCTTCTCTCCATTCTCACAGCCTCCACGCTGGGCTACCCTTCCCTCCAGTCCATCTCCCGTCTGTGGCCAGAGAGCTCATGAAACAGAAGCCAGACAAATCATTCCTTTCTCAAACTCTCTTACAGTGGCTTCTCCCTAGGAGTAAAATCCGGGGTGTTCACCGCGGCCTGCGAAGGTGCCTGCTCACTTCCCTGTCCTGTCCCACCACTTGCCCTCACTTCCTCCTCTCCGGTTACACCAGCCTCCTCACTGTCCTAGAACTCACCAAGCTCATTCCCTGACCACGGGACGATGCACCCACTGCTCCCGCTGCCTGAAATACCCTCTTCTCCAGCTTCTTCTCCTGAGTCTCTGTCTAAATATTACCTCGTCCAAGAGGCCTGCTCTGACCACCCGATTCCACCCTTACCTTGCTTGTCATTGTCTCTCAAAGCACTTAATACATTTTGTTTGCTGTTGCCTGTCCCTCCCTGATGAGAACGGCAGCTCCAGGTGGGCAGGATTGTCTGGTTTCACTGCTGTTTCTCTAACTCTGTGCAGTGATCACATACTGTGATCTCAGCAAATATGCTGAATGGATGAATGAACCCACACAAGGGCATCAGGGTGATCCATGAGGAATGAAGGAGGGAAAGAGGTGGATAAATGAATTCAGGGGCTCCCGGCTGGCTCAGTCGGTGGTGCTTGTGATCCTTGATCTCGGGGTCGTGAGTTTGAGCCCCACGTTGGGTGTAGAGATTACTTAAAGATAAAATCTGTTAAAAAAAAAAAAAAAAAAAGTAAATTCGGAGCAGGTAGAAAAGGTGCCAGAGCAGACAGTAGTAAGGAAGATGGGTGTATTCTAAGTGGCTGGGAAACCACTGGGGAGAGTTTTAAGATTTTTTATTTATTTGTCGGAGAGAGAGAGCACAAGCAGAGGGAGCGGCAGGCAGAGGGCTCCCCGCTGAACAAGGAGCCGGACGCAGGACTTGATCCCAGGACCCTGGGGTCATGACCTGAGCCAAAGGCAGACGCTTAATCGACTGAATCACCCAGGCGTCCCAACCATTAGAGAGTTTTAAAAAGGAATGAGAGACTCTGATTTTTTTCCCAATTTTTAAAAAAAAAACTTTTATTTTTAATCTCTACACCCAACGTGGGGCTCCAACTCACAACCCTGAGATCAAGAGTAAGCACGCTCCACTGACTGAAGCAGTCAGGCACCCCACCCATTTTCTATTGTGGTAAAACATATATAACATAAAATTTATTACCATGATCATTTTAAAGTATACAGTTCTATGGCATTAAGCACATTCGCATTGTTGTACCATCCGTCTCTAAAATGTTTTCATCATCCCAAAATGAAACTCTGTCCCCATTAAACATTAACTCCCCGTCCCCCTCCCCCAGCCCCTGCCACCCACCATCTACTTTCTGTCTCTGGATTTGACTCCCCTAGGGACCTCACATAAACGGGATCGTAGATTATCGGTCATTTTGTGACTGGCTTATTTCACTTAACATACGTCCTCAAGGTTTATCCATGTTGTAATGTGATTTATTTTTTACCAGAGCCCGCAGGCTGCCTTGAGGAGAACGGGGGCAGTGGGGAAGGGCAGAGCAGGGAAGACGAGGGCAGAGGCGCCTGCGCTAGTCCAGGCCAGCAGAGATGGGAGCAGGACCTGGGACATGCCAACAGACATGGAGAAAAGTGACCAGACTGAGAACCTAATTTGAAGTTGATCTGATGGCTTCTGAGAAAGGATCAGACATGGGGACACCAGAAAGAGAGGATCGAAGGAGTTGAAGATTTGGGCCAGGGAATTTGAGTGGACGGTGGTGAATTGGGGGGTAGAAGGTCTGGGGGAAGATAATCCCGAGTCCAGCTTTGGGCGAGCTAGGCAAGAGACCCCTGAGATCCCAGGATGACAGACTGAGGAGGCAGGAGGCTCTTCAGGTGGATCTGAAATCAGGGAAGGCTCAGGGACGGGGACGGAGGGAGCCATCAGCATAAGCAAGTGGACGGAGTTATCTGTGGGTAAGATCCTGGGTGGTGAGTGTAGACAGAGGGGAGAGGCAGGGCTGCCCCTGAGCCAAGGTACAATACACTCTGGACGCGGTCGGGGGCAGAGGCCAGCAAAGGAGGAGTGTTGGGGGCCATTGGCAGAGAATCAAGCAGGTCAGTGAGAGGCCAGGGCCCCTCCGCTCGCCCAGCCAAGGTGACATGTGACACCAGGGCAGCCACTGGGCCCCCTGGGGCAGGGACCCCCTCAGCTGAGGCAGCTGCTGCTGCTGGTGACATTTCACTCCATGAGTGTCCTGGCTTCAAAGTCTCTGCAGGGGTGGGGGAGGGAACGGAGCGGGGCTGGAGAGGCCAGGCTGGCAGGGGAGGGAGCCAGGGCCCGGCTGCTGGAGGACTGAGCGGTCAGGCATCAGCCAGAGGCCTCAGCTGAAGTATGTGGTCCTGACGGGTCGGGGGCCTGCCACCCCCTTCCTACAGTCCCCAGGGGGCACACAGCAGGTGGTTAGGGGACTCTCGGGTAGCCATACAGCTCGGGGTCGGGAATGAAGCCCACTGCCTGTGACCCTGCTCACTTCCCTGCAGATGTCCAGCAAGGGGGCCACTGGCAGCGACATCGGGCAGGCCCGCCGGGCCGTGGAGCAGCTGCGGATGGAGGCGGGCATCGAGCGCGTGAAGGTAAGGGCCGGGGTGGCACGGGCGTGTCTGGGCGAGGGGGCAGGTGGCCAGCCCGGGCCTGGCTGACCAGGCTGGCCTGCAGGTGTCCAAGGCGGCTGCCGACCTGCTGCAGTTCTGCACGGAGCAGGCCAAGAGCGACCCCTTCCTTGTGGGCATCCCAGCGGCTGCCAACCCCTTCAAGGAGAAGAAGCCCTGCGCCATCCTGTGACCTCCACGGCCCCGACCGCCCAGGAGGCCTCAATAAAGATGAAGTGAAGGATCCTCAGGACGTGGCTTGGCCAGGCTTCGGTGGGGGCAGAGGGCCTGCACTGGGGCCACCCGCACACCTGGCGCAGCGCCCCCATCCCCCACCAACTCTAGGGTCCTGGCCCCAGCAGCACACACATCCTGCGCCCCCGGATGCATGAGCACGCACCTCCCCCACCCCCGTGGGGTAGCCTTAGCAGATCCCCTTGCCCACTGCACAAACACACCCAGGGTCAGAGCCCCAGTCTACGTGCCAGCACGCATCACACATGTCTTCCTGTCTCTCTCTTTCTCACACACACACACACACACACACACACACACGCACACGTGCCATTATACAAACGTGTGCACATCCTCAAGAGCCTCCTCCTTCCTCACACACAGCCACATCCAGCAGCACACAGATACACACAGACAGGGTTACGGTCACAGCGCACACAGCCAGACCCACCTCCCCAGCGACACACACACACGTGGTCGTGAGCGCAGGAAGGCTTGCGCTCAAGCAGGTACACTCACACCTCGGTATAAAATAGCATCGCACAGACTCACACACCGCGCACCTCCCAGTCCCAAGCAAGCACAGGCAGGGCCCTCGGGGGACACCAATACATCAGGTTTATTTCTCCTTTGCTCTCAAGGGAAAGCGGGTATCCAAATCCTAGCAAAAACAGGGCTCCAGGGAGGGGAGCAGTCCCCTGGGTGGGCCTGAACACCACGCTCACCTTCCCTGGTGCGGGGCACAGCCCATGGGGCACAGCTCACCATGGCCCGGACTCCTTGTGCCTCAGGGCTTCGGGACAGGGCAGAGGCAGCACCAGCATGCGGGGAAGGTCCCCCGAGAACAGAGGCCATGGCCCAGCCTGTGGGCCGGCAGATCCCCCTCCACATCGGCGTCTGCCTGCTCAGGCCTGCAGCCTCCAGACCTCCAGAGATAGGCCCCCAGAAGCGGCGACCACCAGGTTGCCCTCCGCGCAGATCTGGGAGGGCAGGGCAGAGGTAGTCAGGGGCGCTCTGGGCAGCTGGGCAGGGCGCATAGGGCAGGGCCTTACCCCATTCAGCACATTGTTGTGGTTTCGGGTGCAGATGGTCTTCGGCGGATCCGTGGGCACGTGCACCTGGTGAGGGACAACAGGCGAAAGGGCGAGGGTCAAGACATGCACCGCCGGCTGGTGGGGCCAGGGTAGGGAGGGGGCCTGTCTCGGGGCCTCACCCGGATGGTCTTGTCGGTGGACGTGGTGTACAAGGCCCCCAGCGAGTGTTTGATCCCTGTGATCTGAGACCTGTGGCCCACGTCAAAAGACTGCAGAAAGGAAGGACAGGGGACACTCAGGTAAGGGCTCGCCCAGGGTCCGCCCGCCAGCCACCCAGGGGGTCAGGAGGTAGGGAGGAGGCCCAGGGACAGTGGGGCAGGGGTAAGCTCCCTGGAGGACCCGGACAAGCTGGAAGCGGCCGTTGTGGTTGGCGAAGACGTGCAGCAGGCCCTGGTTGTCACCAGCCCAGAGCTGGGGCTCCTGGTAGGACATGCAGAGCAGGTAGGAGTCCAGCTGTGGGAGGGATACAGGACAGAGCAGCTCAGACCAGGCCAAGCCACCGCCCCGGTCCCTCTGGACCCGCGGGGAGGGCCCACCTGCAGGCGCTGCAGGACGCTGTTGGCCCGGCGGTCGAACACCACGAGCGTGTGGTCCTCGCTGCCCGAGATGATGTGCCGGTCGTCCGCCAGCAGCGCCAGCACCGCACTGGAGTGCAGCCGCCGGCTCTTCAGCAGGGCCGGGCCAACTTCGGGAGTGATGCGGGAAGAAGGGAGACGTCAGAGCCCCCAGGGGCCCCCCAGCCTACACGAGGACCCCGGCACCTATCCCACTTGGCACCACCCTTGGTCTGCTGTGCCCACCCCCATCCCGTCCCTCTCCCCTCCTGTCCCAGCTGGGCCTGGGCCACCCAGCGCCCCCAGATCTTGGCCCTCCCATCCCCCCATCCCAGTCCCGTCCGCTCAGTACAGCACAGTGCAGACCTCGGCAAGTCCCAGCAGAAAAGGCTTCCACCTGCAGGCAGGTCAGAGCCAAGCTGCCCCCTCACCAGCCCCCCACCCGCCTCTGGCCCCACCTGGGCAAAGACCCCCCCTAGCCCTTCAATTAAAATAAGAATGAATAAAGAAAGAAACAACGGGAAAGGCCCTATGTGCTGGGCAGTGTTTTCGTAGGCTTTTTACGTCAACTGACATTTAATCCACCAAGGTTCTTACTGTTCTCTCCTATTAACCCTGTGGGGCTGGAGTTATTATCCAGATTTCACAGAGGGGGAGACTGAGGTTTCAAGCTTGACAGCTAGGAAGTGAGGGAGCCAGGGTCCTAGGGGCTGCTCCACCTCCCACAGTATTGAGGCCCAGAGGGCCTCCCATCCTCCCCGACACCCCAGATGGAGGGGGGGTGCCTCTGCCCCCAACCCACATCCCCCTCAAGCTGCCTTCCTTGTCCCAGCACAGCAGGGGCCACTTGGGAGTGGTCACCATCTGGTTGTGACTGTCATCCCAGCCAGGCTGTGAGGGCCAAGGGTCTCCTTTCCCAGCACGACCCTGGAGACCCCAGGCGACTCTCCTCTCCCCACCTGGTTCCCAGGGCCCCCGGCCCACCTCTGGGGTCATAGACGGTCACTTTCTTGTCATAGGTGCCAGTCACCAGGATGTCAGGCCGGTAGGACAAGCACAGCACAGCCGCCTTGCCCCTGGGAACACACGGACCCCAAGGCTCAGGCTGTGACTAGGTGGGCGCCCAGCCCGGCCCCACCTCCCCGCCCAGGACCCCACACACTTTATCTCGCCGAACTGCTGCCCATCAGCGGCCATGTCCCAGAGCTTCACCGTGCTGTCCCAGGAACCAGAGCACACGCGGTGGTCCAGCGCTGCCAGCGACCACACCCAGCCCTGCAGACCGGACCCCGTGGTCATCCCCATTTCAGAGGTAACAAGATTGAGCGTCGGAGGAGGGAGACGACTGACCCAAGAACCCAGAGCAAGTCCGCTCCAAGTAGAGGTCAGGACTTAGGTCGGTGGGTCTGACTTCAGAGCCGAGGAGCTGAGGACGTGCACGCCCACAGAGAATGATATTCCCAAGTCAAGTCCCTGCCAGACTCAGCACCCGTGGTGGTTTGAGGCCACCTAACAATGTGACTAAAAGTGGGGCCTCCACTCCATGACCTGAGCGAATGAAGGGCTCTCCCTTGGTTTCTTCACTGGGAAACAAAAAAACTGGGCACAAAAAAACAACCCCCGCCTCAGGAGCCAATAGGCACAAAGCACTGGCTGGTGCCTAACTCATTCCTCACCAGACTCTCTGAGGAGAGTGCTGCGTAACTGTGTCCGTGCTACAAATGAGGACACTGGAGCACAGAAAGGTTGAGTCCCTTGCCCAAGGTCACACAGCCAGGGAGTAGCAGAGTGGGGATTTGAGCCCAGTGGCCTAGTTCCGAGACCACGCTCTTGCCCACCTGCCTAGATCACCTCAATGACTGGCAGTGGTGCTCCTGCACGGCCGCCTCTCATGAGCTGACAGCCATGCGCAGAGCTTCGTGATCCCCATGGGCAGCCTCGTAACTGCCCTGCCCTACGCCTCTCAAGGTATACCTGATGCGTCTTGAGTGCCTCCTGGGTATCCCAGCCTAAGCAAAGCTCTACGGCATATTCATTTCATTCATCCTCATCCTAACTGAGCCCTAGACACAAGTAGAAACAGAGGCCCAGAGAAGTCCTCCATCTCACCCCAGTGTCACACGAGCAATGGCAGAGCAAGATTTAAATCTATGATGTCTGGTGCCAAAACTCATGCCCTTAACCATGGCACCCTACCCAGGCCCCACCCCTCGTGCCCCTGTCTGGCCTCCTAACCCCTCACCTTGTGGGTACTGTTCTTCTCGGTGCCCAGGGCCTTGACTAGAACCTGGCTGGGCTCCACCCCCAGCTGCCGCAGGTCCCACAGGTTGACATTGCGATCTCGGGAACCTGACAGACAAAGCGCTCCACCCTAAGAAGAGAGTGAGGTGGTGGTGTCGGAGTCACCCTGGCCCACCCCTGCCTGCCCCCCACCGAGCCCCACCTCACCTGGAGCAGCAGCACCGAGTCAATGGAAGCAAAGTGCCCATCAGCCAAGCAGAAGTACTCAGCCCAGCGCCCATCCTCCGCCCAGCGCGACAGGTGTTGCTCCAGCTCGATGCAGGCTGTTGGCCAGTCGAAGTCCTCCTCTGTGGGGCATCGTGAGCAGGGTCCCCAGTGGGCAGGAATCCTGATGTCCACACCAGCTGTCCAAGCCCACCCCTGGCTTCCAGGAAGCCCAGCCTTCACCCGACTTGGAGAAAACCCCACCTGGATCCCTCACCCCACCCAAGAAGGCCCAGGATCTAGCTTTGGGACCACCGGCCACCCACCTTCCAAGCAGGTCTAGGACTACTCACCCCAGTTTCCAAAAATTGGGTAACTGGAGCCTTGGGACCACCTTCGCAGGCCTCAACCCCCAACCCAAGTGTGGAGGATAGTAGCCTCAGGATGTTAAGGTCCTGCCTCAACCCCTCAGGCTGTGCATCAGAACTAGGACGCTTTGCCTCCATGATCTTAACCAAACCTGGGAAGTGTTCCCAAATTGGTGTCTGTAAACTTGGGAACTTTGTCGAGATGCAGAACTCAAACGCTTGCAGAGATTCAGTGGTATTAATGGAGCTCAAGCAACTGTTTATCAAGCTGTTCAGGAAAGCCCCATCAATTCAAGGTCACCAAGCTGTCTTATCCCCCAGGGATCAATGACCTCAGGGGCAGGTGGAATTACCACCAGCCCCTAAACGAGGCTAGACCCTGGGCTTGAGGATCGATCTGTGATTGCTGGCATCAGGGATCCTAACATCTAAGATGTAGCTTGGGATCAAATGTTGCAGGCTCTGGGCCTTTAGTCCCTGCCCCAACCCTACCTAGGTCAAGACTGTAAGGGCGAGGGGCCTTGGCATCACCAGTTGGATTCTTGGCCTACCCCGAACCCCAAGAGATTCCAACAGCTAAGACTTCCAAGTCCCTGTGTCAACCCCCAGCCAGGGGTCAGGGCCGTTGGTACCACCAGACCCCAAGCCTGAGGCTCGTTGGATCCTGAGTTCAGGGACCCCAGCCCCCCACGGCAGATTTCCACAGTCCCAGGACCCCCAGCGCCTGGCTCATGGTGCACCCAGAGGTCAGGGGCTTTGGCACCACCGCTAACTACCTCAGCCTCCACCCAAGCCAGGACAACCAGGAGGCCTGCTCCACGGCTGTGCTCACAGCACCCCAGCCTAACCTGGGCAGCTGACCCCAGCCCCCAGGCGCGCGCACCTTCCACCACTGGGTAGGGCGCGCGTACGCGGCGCTGCGCGCGTAGCCTCCAGGTGACATGGTCACGCACGAGGTCGCGCAGTGTGTGGCACACGCGCGGCAGGACATGGAGCACCAGGCGCGCGTCTAGGTAGGCGCAGATCTCAAGCAACAGCTCCGGAGGAAGGCTCAGCAGTCCCGGGACCCCCACGGGCGCACCCTTGGACGCCGCCCGCAGCTCCAGGGCGCCAGGGGATGCGACGGGCGCGGACAGCAAAGGGGCGCGTGGGGGCGCCTGCCCGACTTTCGGCGGACTGAGTACGCGGGCCACGTAAGCCTCGGCCTGCGCGTCCGGGTCGGGCTCCGACTCCGGGTCCGAGTCATCTTCCCAGGCGCGGGGATCGTCGCGCGGCCCTGGGGGCAGCTCCATGGCGACCGGGTGGGCGCGGCCAGCCGGGCCCTGTCAGCCGAGGGCCCCGCGTCCCGTCTCCTAGGCAGCGCGAAGGCACTTCCGGCGCTGCTTGATGACGTTGAGCGCTGGCCGGAAGCGAGCGGCACGTGGAGAACCAGGCTGGATCCCGGAATCCCGCTGTTTTGAGGGCTCCCGTGGTGCAGCTTCGTCGGCCTTGGGCTAGACAATGCAGACTCCTTCTAACAGCGTTTGTTAAACAGGCAGCTGACTCTGGTTTGACGCGGCTCTGTCAAAGGCACCTCTCACAGGTGACACGGTGCTTAGAAATGCAGTCCCTCGGCGTTCGCAGTCTGGACCATACAGGGATTCCAACTCCTGACTTTCCTTCCCGGGGCAGAAATGTTCAGTTGTACCGCAGAGGCCTCAGATTCTCTTAAATTACCTAAAAATCGTCCTTATGTCTTATTTACTCAAAGTGTCTTTTGAGCGAAGCAGTATTAACCGATCCATATAAAATGTCTCAGAGCACTTGCCGTTCTGCCTCTGCAGATGCCCAGATATGCTGTTACCACCTAAGCGGTGAGGCCTCCTCACAGTCCCCTACTATAAAGCCGACCATTTTACCAACGTTCTCTCTCCCCTCCCCACTTTTTCCTCTATGGGACATATCACTGTTCCGCTGTTTATTTCCTGTGCCCTCACTAAAATGTACACATTTGTCGAATGAATGCTGGATATATGGCAATGTCAGCTTTTTGTTTGTTTTCCCAAGTCGATGCAGGGGACCTTCGGCCCTGTTGAGGTTGCAACAAGATTTTATTCTGAGGCTGTGTGTCCCAAGAACTTCGCAATTTCTCATTTGCCTCAGTAACTGTCTCATACACCTCCCACAGGCCAAGTGCTAAGGTTCCTACAAAAAATGTATAACCTGCCCAGTAACCCAGAGTTGTGAGGTTAGCCAAAGATGAGAGTGCTGCAAGACTCTGCCCCTTAGTTTAGTCTAAGGCAGATGGGGATCTTGAACCTGGGCTGTAACACTAACGGCTCCCTTTTAAATTGAGCTCAAGACGTTCAGTGCGCTATAACTACATTCCAGGGAACACACGACACGTGTATGTTACCACATTCGATCTTTGTCCTTCACATTCAGCTTCCCATTTTACTGGGAAGAAAAGTGAGAGGCTTGGGGTCCCAAGAAATGTGCCTGGTTAATTGCTTACTTACTTCCCTACTCCTGAATTATTTCCTGAGTCCTGGGCATCCCCATTTCTAAGACATCCCAAGCCCCCCTCCAGATCTCTTCTCTACTGCCAAAGCCAAGGATACAGGAGGCCAGATGGAGACCAAGGGTTTCACAAGAAACTGATCTTTACTCAACAAAGTTCTACACAAGTGGAATCTCACGCCACCTCGGCGCCAGTCCCCAGCACAGCACAGTAACAAATGGACAGACCCTGGAGCCCGTAGGAGGAAGAGGGTGAGGGGGAAGGAGGGATGTGGGACAAAGGGGGACTGCAGATCGAGGCCAGTCAGGGTCCGCAGCCCTGGGCAGGGGAGAGGGTTGAGAAGCTGAAACTTCGTTGTGCAAAAATCAACCAAAAATAAATTAAAAAATTAAATAGTTTTCTTAAAAAAAAAAAAGAAAAGAAAAAAAACTAGAACCAGGCTCCCCTTCCCTGAAGGTGTCTGGAGCGCCCCCATCCTGGGTGGAGAAGGGGTTACCAATCCCATCAGACACCCAATCCATCCACACACCCCAAGACCCAGCAGAGGATGCTCCAAAGAACTGGATTACCAGAAAATTAAATGGTACCTAATTTTTTTTTCCTTTTTTTTTTCCTTTTTTTTTTTTTTTTTAAACAAATGGCTTCCAGAGACCTGCTGGAGTTTCACAGGGTAGGGAAGCCAGCAGAGTTTATGGAATGTGCACCAAGTGCCCCTCGGAATAGAGGCAGGGCCTGACCCTGTCTGGAGAAGACACAGGGCTATGATGGGATTGGGTCCAGGGCCCTGCAGGGATGAACAGAACAAGCCCCGGGCTGTAGGAATCCAGTCAAAGCCCCACAAAACTCCCAAAGGGGCCCCCAGAAAAGTAAAAGTAGGGGAGAAAAAAAGGAAAACACTAAGGGGGCTGCAGGGCCCGGTTCAGTTTTGAGGCCAACTGGGAAGTAACCACACCCCCTCCTCTAGGGGTGCCTCCCACACCGTGACTGCACCCCCAACCAATCCCAGAAGGTCCCCTAGAATCACTGCCCCTGTCTGGTGGAGTCTTGTAGCCCACTGGGAGCTGTGATGAACAGGAAGCTCCAGGGACAGAGAGTGGGGTCAGCGGGGGTACCACGTTCTCCTCCTCCAAAGCGCTTCATTTCCTTCTTGCTGGCAGAGCCTAAGCTTTCATCCTCTGTCCCCCATCGATTAAAGGCCCCGCCTGCAGCCCTCGAATTAAAACTCAGGCTGGAACCTGAGAGGAGGGCTCTCAGAAGCACAGAGAAACGGGCCGCCCTTGAAACAGACTTGCTTATGGAGAGACACAGGGGGCAGGGGGCAGCAGCTCCGGCTGCCCTCAGCTCTCTTCAGGAAGAAGGCCCTGGCCCAGTGTCTTCAAAAGTCACTGGAGCACAGCTGCGGGGGAGGGGGGGGAGGAAGGGGGGGCAGGGGGAGGGGAGAAGAAAGGGCAACCTCTGGCCAGACCCAGCCCCTCTGGCCATCCCCGCTCTTCTGGCTGGGACCGAGCAAGGGGGCCACCCAGGCTGTGGCCGCCACCGAGCTGGCAGGAAGTGTGCGGAGCAGGTCCCGAAGCGTGCGCGTGCTGACTTGGCGGCCTGGAGACGGCCGTCCTCTTCCCCCGCCCCAGGGGCCCGGCGGAGGCCCCCAACCCACCCAGCCCTCCCCAGTCACCAATGCCGGCAAAACAGCAGAAGCTTCTTAAACTCTAGATGCAGGTTACACGGAAGGCCTCACGGGTTAACTCAGGGGTTCACTAATTCTACTGTCTCCATGCAGTCGGGGAAATGGGGGGGCGACCGGCCCAGCCCTGGCAGGCTGCAGCGCCGTACATGCGTGTCCGCGGGTGTACGTGCGAGCGTACGTGTCTCTACAAGGACCCCCCTCCCCGCCTGCTTTCCCCTTGCCTCAGCCTGAGCCGGGATTGCTCGGCCGTGTTGAATCTTCCCTCCCGCGAGGCTGGCCCAAGGGGGCTGCCTGAGGTGACCCCGACTGAGAGCAAAGGGCCCTTGCTGCCAAGAAGTCCCACCCCCCCCTCCCCTGTTTGTAGGATGAGTGTGGAGACCCCACCCACCTGCCCGCTGGCCGCCAGGCCACACACACCCACGGCAGGTAGGTGGACGGGGAAGGCGTCTGGATTTGGGTCCCGCTCACTCCTCCCTAACCCCCCTCGACCAGGGCACGGCGACTTCTGGACGCAGCGCGCTCCCCAGCAACCCCTCCAACGACGCAGACAGAAACCTGTGGGGAGAGGGGGGGGGGGTCAGGGCCTGCACCGCCCTCCCCCAACAGCAATGGCCCGCGGGCGCACAGCCTCCTCACCTGGCAGTCGTGCCGCTCGTCTAGACCCCATAGAAGGCAGCCAGCCTCTCCTTGAGCAGAGGCGGGAACTGCTCTGAGAACTGCTGCCAGTTCTCCTCCCCAACTTGGTCTTTGAAGCCGTGGAGAATCTGGGGGGAGGCGAGGGGTGAGGCCCGCCCCAGCGCGGAGCCGTCTGAAGGTAGCCTCTCTCCCCAGAGGCGCCCCCCCCGCCCCGCCCCGCCGGCCGCTCCTTCCCAGGAGCTCACCTTATAAAACATGTCCCGAAGGTCATCCTTCGGGCTCACCCAGGAGGCTACAGCGTCGCAGAAGAAAATAAAGTCCTGAAACGTGACAGGTCCTGTGTGAGGGGCCGCCCAAGCCCTGCCCCGGCGCCTTCCCTCCGAGCCCGGCTGCCCCAACCTGCACGACGCCCCCGGGGTTGACGCCTATCATCATGCAGATGCCTCGGAAAGCCGAGTCCTTCTCCTCATTGTCCCTGATGTTCCTGAGGGACGTGCACCTGCGGGGGAGGCAGGCGGCAGGCAGTCAGCGGGTGGGCGGGGGCAGGGCGGGGGTGGGGCACGTTATCTACGTGGGGTGGAGGGGGGTGTTTCAGCAGGTGACGGGCTGGGACGGGCATCTGGGGGTGGACACAGACAAGGGAACGGGTCAGGCCCCACTCCCCCCCACCCCCACCCTGCTGCCCCGCCCACCAGACACACAGGCCCCACATGGGGGGGGGGGGTGCACACACCAGGGCCGGATGAACTGCTGCAGCATGGGTGCCACCTCCTGTGGGCACACATAGCCCAGGCGGCCGATGGTGATGGCTGGAATGGCAGAGGGACTCGTCAGGCGACCTGCAACCCCGAGCGGCCCCGGGACGGTACGTGGCGGGGCCTCTGGCACGAGGCACCAGCCCCGCCCCGGGGGGCCCCAAGGGAATAGGCCCAACCAGGGTCTCCCCAAGGCATCTTCCCAGAACCCCTGCCAGGTCTTTCCAGACACCTTCCCTGGTCCTTTCCCAAGGTCTCTTCATCACTACCCTCCCAGCTGGGAAGCCCAATCCCAGGTAAGGGGACAGCAACTGCTCAGGCCTGGTGCCCACCTGTGTTTTCCAGCAGCGTCTTGGGTGTGTTGGGCCGGTTGATGATCTCCACCAGGTTGTTGAGGACCATCTGCACGTAGGGCTGCATCTCCGCCCCTGGGGGACCAGTCAGTCAGAGCCCCGCAGAGCCCATACCACCCATGCTGACCCCCAGCTGCATCCAGACATTGGCCAACTGCAACCAGTGAGGAAACAAAGAACATTCTCCAGCTGGTGCCCGGCTCAGGACCCGTGGCCAACCAGGGACAGACCCACACCTTCCAAACACCAGAAGCTTCCCTGAAGTCACTGCTCAACACCAGGGTTAGACAACATTACCCAGATTCCCGAGGGGAGCGGGGGGAGAAGGGAGGCAGCGGCCAAAATCTCCCCACCAATCCCAGTGGGCCTTTCAGCCAACTGCACGGGGTGGGACATCACAAACAATCCAATCAGAATAGGC